AATGCCCTAAACAATGTTCTGTCTGTGCTGCCTACTCGGCATCAGGGCGTGCTGTTCATGCACAGCTAACCAGAGGTGCTCTTTTTCCAGGTGATAGTGTCCCGGGGTGGTCGCTTTTTGGAAGCACCGGTCTCAGGAAATCAGCAGCTCTCTAATGATGGGATGCTTGTGATCCTGGCAGCTGGCGACAGGGGTTTATATGAGGACTGCAGTAGCTGTTTCCAGGCGATGGGGAAGACCTCTTTTTTTCTAGGTAATTCAAACCCAAAGGGCCTCATAGCAGTTTCTTAGTCACTGCAAGGACTGGGAATTCCATCAAGGAGTCTGAGGCATGTATGTCATCTATTTCTTGTCTCCTTGGGCAGTATGGGAAATGGCCTGCTCTCCTGGAACTTTGCCAGTTTCAGAGCCTCCAGCCTAAGTTTTGTTCTTGAATACTGGCTTGCTTTGGAGGATCCGTAATGCTTTTTATTTTACGTCATACTTTGTTATGGTTTCTCCCCTCCTTTGAGTGTTTGGAAAATGGGTAAGTTTTCTGAAGTCTTTGAGGGGAAGGGAGAGCTGCCAAGTGCTTCTTGTGAAGAGTCTAGTAGCATTAATACTGTGTTGGATGGGGGAGCAAGGCTGCTGTTTCTCTTCTGGAGGAATGCCCAATGGTATGTCTCGCTCCCAGGTGAAGTAGGCAATGCTGCCAAGATGATGCTGATTGTGAACATGGTCCAAGGCAGCTTCATGGCAACGATAGCAGAAGGACTGACTTTGGCTCAAGTGACTGGCCAGTCCCAACAGACCCTTCTGGATATCCTCAATCAGGGACAACTTGCCAGCATCTTCCTGGACCAGAAGTGCCAAAGTAAAGTTCTCTTACGTTGTTTTTTTATAGGACATATGCTACAACCTAGCAGCGTTTCAGATAGTGGCAGAAGGGAGAAAATAACCATCCCATCTTCATCAGCCTGGGATTCTGGGTGTTCTAAGCATTCTGGAAATGAGCTGACTTCCATTCCTTCCCCTTAATAGCCAGGACTTCTGAGAATACGCCCCAAGCTCTGCATTGTCTACAGCCTGCTTGGGACTTGAGTTCACAGTGAGGGTTTCATGGGGGCAATGGGTAGTAAGTGAAATAGTGGGCAGCAAGCTGCTTAGAAGTCCAAGCTCGCGTCGTCAGTGGGCAATAGTGACATTATCTGCCGTGGCCAGATGAAGATAGAGAGCAGAGAAACAGAAGAGCTAAAAGTAGTGTTGTTCCTAGTGATCAGCATGGGAAAGGGAAGTGTGGTGTTGAATTGCATGTCCTTGCAGTGTGGGCTTGATTAACTTCTGTCATACTTATTTTTTGCACGCGTTCCTCTCGACAGATATCTTGCAAGGAAACTTTAAACCTGATTTCTACCTGAAATACATACAGAAGGATCTTAGATTAGCTATTGCACTGGGCGATTCTGTCAATCACCCAACTCCCATGGCAGCTGCTGCCAATGAGGTAAGAGCTGTTCAGCGTTCAGATAAGTGTTACTCAACGATTCTTCAATAGAGCCGTTTGTCAACAAGAGACAAAAATCTAAGAATTACATCATCTCTAAGACAGGGGAGCAGCGATTGAGATATACTTTGACTAGGATGGGATTGGATTTGTTTTGGTTGTAGAAGCCCTTAGAATGTCACATCACTAAACAGATGGCCTCAACAAGACCTAGTGTGTTCTGATCTGCGCTGCTTTTATTACTTGGCGTACTGTGCCGTTCTCTGGTGTGCAATGGTCGGCAAAGTAATTTTTCTGCTAGGGAAAGGCTTCGCGCAAGAGCAGTCACTGATCCTCTTCTGATTTCTCTTCCCTAGGTCTATAAACGAGCAAAAGCATTGGACCAATCAGACAACGACATGTCTGCAGTGTACAGGGCCTACATCCACTAGGCTGCACCGTTCTTACTGTTAATACTATGATTATTGATTAATATTATTATGATACTGGGTTTTAACTCTGGACCAGTCCATCTCTGTCTCTCCATTTCCTTTTATACACAGACTTTTGAGATCTGCCACGGAGGCAGCTGCTGCGGTGAGCCTTCCCCTGGTGGCAGAAGGGGGGGAGGAGGGGGCTCGGATTGTTGCAGTCTAAATAGAAAAATCCATGCCATGCACTGACAGTCATGGAACAGAACAGTGGCGGCTTGTTCAGAAGCTCTGAGGCAACTCTGCCAGAAATCTGCTGCTTGGCTGCTTTTATTTTCCTCTTTGTATGCTTGTCCAAGATGCTGTTTCTAACGATCCCTTTTCTCCTTTGCTGTGAAATAATGTGTGTGTTGGACTCTGTACATCAAGGGGACAGGTGACATACATCCCATCTACCTGTGAGTATCACTAAAGTCCTTGGTCCCAAGTAAGGTGAGGAGCATTCCTGTTACTCAGCCACTGTTAGAGCAAAAAGCACCTCCCATGGAGGAGAATGGCAGTTCAGAAGGTAATGGGGTTGCATGCAACACTGTCTTGATTCTGTTTCTTTTTAAACTTCCACCTCCCCAGCACCTTGATGGAGGAATTCCTTGTACTGTTAAGAAGAACAGATTGCATCCATGTCTTCCCCTGTACAGACAAGTGTAGCTCAGAGAACACACATCTCACTGAAAATGAGAGAATGCCAGTGTAAACGAGTCTCCTAAAAGGCTAATCACAGCTGCCCATCCCACAAACAGCGTCGGAGATCAACACGTTTGCATAGAAAACTGCAAGAGAAACATACAGCCTAAAAGTAGGCCAGAGAGATTTTATTTGGGGAAAGAACAAACCTTAGGGTTGCTCCTGGCCTTAGCTTACCTTGCTTTACTTCTTGTTTTGTTTTTTTTCACCCTCATAGTCAGTAATTACAGAGGTCTCTTGGGTTGTAGCGGTGTCAGAAGCAGAGCGGTGAGTCTGAAAGGGGCAAGAAGAATGATCGTAGAGCCAGGAGGCTGAGGATCCTGAGCGCCTTTCCACGCTCTCTGGCCTTTGCATGGTCATTGTGTCTCAGCCTGTTTGCCCATCTTTAGAGGTGGGTGGTGATTACCTACCTCACAGGGATGTTTTGTGTACTTACTGGTGATCGTTATACACGTCGGATTTTCCGTATGTGTTCTTAGCGTTACTGCTCTGGGTGCAACACTAGCGCAGCACGAGGCTTTTCCCTGTACCTGTCACTCTGCTTGTGGCCAGATACCGAATTCTAGAAAGATTTAGTAGGGAGACTGAGACCGCTGCTGAGCTTTAGTCCAGAAACATGAGACTTGAACTGCAGATGCCAAGGCTAGAGAGCAGAGATGCTCTCAGTGTTGATTGCAGAGCAACCCAGAGTCCAAAGGATGCCTGTCTCTGAAAACACACAGAGCAGGATTTGTTGTTTTTTGGGTTGTGGGTTTTTTTATCTCTCACTTGTTCTCAGTATTAGCCTTTTAGGAGTGTTCTTGCATTTTAGATTCGGAAGTTAGTGAAATGCCAGCAATAAACTTTATTGGCCAAAATAACTTCTCTGTGGCACAATCTCCTCCCTTGGGATGGGATTCTAAAAGGAAAGAAAGCAAATTCAGGTTAGACCATGTTCCTTTAAATCCGTGAGGTCTGCCCCT